CCAGCTGTTTTCCACATGCTCTCTAAGGGAACATGCCCCTTCGGTTGAGAGCACTGCCTAGCTGATCACTGGTTTGTGAGCCTGACAGAGTGGGTAGGGCTAGAGCTGACTCTGTGATGACTGTGGCCAGGGCTGGCTCGTCTCCACTTTCCAAAGCCACTCCCATCAAGATCCGGCCCAGAAGCACCCACTGCTGCGAGCAGCCTGGCCCAGCCGCCCTACAAGCCTCGCTCACCTGTGCTCCACGAAGGCATCCACCAGCTCCTGGCGCAGGCAGCACAGCTTGTGCCGGTGGGTGCGGGGGAAGCCAGCGCGGGTGCACTCCTCAGGCAGCCGCTCGCCGGGCACAGGGAGGAAGTTGAGGTCAGGGGGGAAGGTGCGCAGCAGGTCGAGGATGTAGTGGCGCCCATCGTTGCCAATGATGCCCTTGCACTCCACGGAGGAGCAGAGCTCCACCTCCTCGTCGCGGTCGTTGAGCACCCGGTGCCTCAGGATCTTGAGGGGCCGGCTCGTGCGCTCCAGAAGCTCCAGGTACCTCGGGTGGGACACCACCGTCTTGCCGAAGTCGATGGAGCCATAGATGACACTCTGCTCCTGGTCCCGCTCCAGGATGCCGGGGATGATGGACTGGGCCGTGACTCGGTAGCCGCGGTAATCCACCACCACCGTTCCCAGCGTGTACAGCCCCTCCACGTCCACCGCGTTGTACGTGCGCACACCGTTCAGGTCATTGGCAGGTGCCACGTAGGCCGCCACGTCCCCGCCGAAGTCCTTGTAGTGGTCGCGGACATCGAAGCCCAGGCTGAAGAAGATGTTGTTCCAGATGAACATCTGCATCTTGGTCTCCTCGCTGGGGTTGATGGCCATCACATTGCCATCGATGACTGCCATGGCGCCCCGTGTGGCCGCTGCCGTGAAGTCGCTGTGCACCTGGGGGCGAAGGGCCGAGGTTGGCAGGGTCCCACCTGGCCAAGCTCACCGTGGTGGAGGCTAGCAGGCTACCTTGGGGGCCGAGGGCTCTACGCTGTTTCCTCGCGTTTGGAAAAGGGCAAGAAACCCCTTTTTTGAAAAAAACATCACTTATGCTCAGACTTCAAAACTTAGCGCTTAACAAGGAGCGGGAGGGCTGGCACGGGTGTGGGACCCACCGATTGTGTGCCAGGTGACTCAGGTCAGCTCTTGGACTCATTTTCTGGTCTAAAGAGCAGGGACAATAGAAGTATGGAACTTTACAAGTTGTCTGAGAGATTACAGGCGGTCAGGCCTATGAAACACCTCGCACTGACCCTGATAAAGTTAGTACCCAAACATTTAGATCTTATTTTCACCATCATCATCTCTAGGCGGTAAGATTATCAAAGACTTTAACTTTACCTGTTTTTTGAAAGCACTGTTTTTCCTCAGGTCTCTTATCTCAGTAAAAGCACTAATAACATTACAGTGGGCACCTGTGCCAGGCAAGAACCTGATGGCAGTTAGTGGAGGGCAGAGAGCTGGAATGGACCTGGCCACTCAGCCCATGCGAGGGCAGGTCCCACCCTGCCTGTGGGCTCCAAGTCTCAAGAGGCAGGAAGAGGAGTTGGGGGAGAGAGGGTCTGCCAGGAGGCAGAGGCTAGCAGAGCACACTGCAGGGTACCCTGTCAGCCCACCCGGGTTTCCTCTTTCCACAAGAAAACAAAAAAAGAAGAAAAAGAAAGAAAAGAAAACCAGCAACGGTGCAGGTGGGCCTGAGGCTGCAGTCAGGCACGAGGGACATGGGCACCTTGAATATGGCTCTTTCCCGAAGCAGCCGCTCAGGCAGGTTCTTGCGGGGCAGCTCCCTCGTGGTCTGCAGCTCCTCGTTCCAGTCCCGGGTCTGGAGAGGGACCAGGGAGGGAGACACTGGCTCAGCCTGTGCCCCACAATCTGTGCTGGGCAGCTCCTTCCTCCACTTCCCCATGGACAGCCCCACAGGCTCCCAAGTGAGCAATACAGAAAAGCAGATGGAGCTTCCAGGGAGGCACACAGAATCCAGCCCGGCACCCACCAAGGGAGGGGGAGGGAGGTCCCCGGGGAGGGGAGGGCAGGGCCCGGCCGCAGGCACCTGTCCAGGAATGTGCTCCTCGTAGCCCAGCCTTGAGGTGTAGGCATCCTCCGCACGCACGCAGTCCATGGCATGCTCTGCCTGGGGGGCCGTCCAGCTGTACACCTGGAACGGGGTGGCAATCCTCTCGAACGGGTGGCGCTGGACCCTATGGCAGGCAGAGGAGGGGAGATGGCCAGCCCGCCAAACTCAGAGCCCTGCCCTGGCCCCCTTGTTCTCTGCGCCCCCCACCAGCTCTGGTGTCTCCTTCCCTGAGACCTGCTCTGGAAGGCCTGGCTGAGAGCACCCTAAGGGAGGCTCTGGGGTGCTTGGGGGCACAGCTTCTTAGGGCAGACATGCTTGCTTTCAGGCTGGTGGGCCATGAGACCAGAACGGAGATCTTCCCTGAGACCTGCTCTGGAAGGCCTGGCTGAGAGCGCCCTAAGGGAGGCTCTGGTGCTTGGGGGCACAGCTTCTTAGGGCAGACATGCTCGCGTTCAGGCTGGTGGGCCATGAGACCAGGGCGGAGACGAGGCAAAGGCACTACCTTTTCTTCTGCAGCACAGCGAAGTTTTTTTTGAAGGTCGGGCTGATCTGGTTGAGCAGCTCCACCAGGGAATGGCTGAGGAAGCGGGGGCTGGCGGGCTTGGGGTTGAAATGATACGCTGTGGACCTGCAGAGAGGGTGGTCACTGTGCAGGGAGCTCCAAGCAGCTGCCCAAGGACCCAGACGGGCTCGCACAAAGACTCACTGGTTCAGGTAGAAGCCCCGTGTGGACGCCGTGATGCTGACTTGCCGGTCCTC